TAACCCAACGAACCACGAGACTTTTTTCCTTCTTTCTTTTCTTTCTTACATAATTAAAGACAATGCAACATGAGAATTTAGTCCGACTATACCCATTCAGAACGAGAGAGAGAAAAAAGGTCGTTACATCACTTAGCAAAACTAAATAAAGGGAAACCATTTCCCTCTTCTTCATTACCCGCCGCCACTTAACTAACCTGCACTAACCTAACCCCATCCCGGCGGCGGGTGCGTGCCGCCCTCGGAGTGGGTGCCGCGTCGGTGGACACTGGCAACACCATTCCGTTTATCTTGGAGCCACGTGACCCGCGCCGCACGAGGATCTTGTCCGCTCTCAAAAAGCGTCCTCCGCGGGCGCAGGTGCGACCATTTCCCTCTGCGCGAGCGTGACAGCGCGCCTTTACGACACCGTGATGAATATCGTCCTGCCAGAAAGGCCATAAACTTATCGCAAATAGTTTCATGAAAGGTGTTTTCGACGAACGCTCACACGCACTTTCAAGTGAACACACACACGTAGCCCCCACGCACGCACGCACGCACGCGCGCTCTCTCTCTATCTCGATCTATCGAGTTATGTTTTTATCAGTCCAACTCTTCCATTGTCCCTCCACATCTATTCCCTTTTCTCTCGAGAAGAAATTATCTCAAACTTTCGCTCCTCCAACTTTCCTGCTTTCTCGACGACTGTGCGACCGTATGCGACTAAACTACAAAAATTGGAAAAAAAAAACGAAAGAAAAAGAAAAGAAATAAAAAAACGCTACGAGGGTGGATCGCTCTGCAATTTGATTTTCTAATACAGTCCCGGATTAAGAAATTACAAATCTGCTATTAGGTGCATAAAGTATAAAGCGTAAAGTATAAAGCATAATGTATGAAGCACGAAAAACGTATTTGATACTGACCAGTCTCAGAATTTGCATAGCGTTGAAATCCGTTGCTGTATTTCTTTTCATCATACGTTCCTCCATTCCTTTATCCTTTCCACTAAAAATATCGCAGGGATTAAACTCCATCCATAGGAGTCAAAAAAAGAAAAGAAAAAAACATTGTGACACAACTAAACCTTATTTACTTAATCGCGAAAAAGACGATTCTTCAGGGAAAACGAGAGAGAAAATGCGCGAAAAATGATGCAACGCGGGCGGGCATAGAGGTTGTAGTGCCTATTACACGGGCGTCTATTATGGGGACAATGTGGCAGCGATGGGCGTGTGTGGGCGTGGGTGGGTCGGAGCGATGGGCGGAGGTCCAAGCCTGCACGCACGGGCGTTCGAGATTTTACAGGGCCTATTATACGCACAGAAAGATATATACGTACGCACGCATGTGAAGATACACATACGCAAATATTCTCTCTCTCTCTCTCTCTCCTACTCTATCTCTCTCTCTCTCTCTCACGCTGAATCCTAAACGTACACTTTTTTCTCATCCTGTGTGTGTCTCTCTCTCCCTTCCCCAGCCCTCTTTATCATACTTACCCCCTCTCTCCCCCTTCCTCCTCTCATCAACTCTCGCAACACACACCGCCGGCAGCGCACACGCACACGCACTCTCGTTATGACTCTCTCTTCATTACCGACACTTCCGGTCAGCCACGTAATCACTATCGGTACTTCGTCAACACCTCTACACTCTCTCGGGCGCCGCCACCCCCCTCTCTCGTGGGCGCCGCCACCCCCCTCTCTCGTGGGCGCCGTGGGCCGCCGCCACCCCCCTCTCTCGTGGGCGCCGCCACCCCCCTCTCTCGTGGGCGCCGCCACCCCCCTCTCTCGTGGGCGCCGCCACCCTTCCCCCCCTTTTCTTTCCTCCCTCCCTCCCTTCCCTCTTCTTTCCCTTCTTCCTCTCCTTTTCCTCCCTCCCCTTCTCCCCCTTGGTCCCTTATAGTGTGAGGAGAAGGAAAGGAGAGAGAGAGAGAGAGAGAGAGAGAGAGAAGAGAGAGAGAGAGAGAGAGAGAGAGAGAGAGAGAGAGAGAGAGAGAGAGAGAGAGAGAGAGAGAGAGAGAGATATGAGGGGTGGGGAAGCGAAGAAGGAAAGGAGAGTGGGAGAAAAAGGGGAGGGTGGAGGAAGAATAGAGAGAGCGAAGGAGCGAGGGACGGAGAGAGGGTGGAGGAGAGGGAGGGAGAGAAGAAAGGGAGGGAAAGGATAGAGGAAAGGAGGGAGGGAGGGAAGGCTGGTGGAATGAGGTAGAAAGAGGCTGAAGGCTGAGGTAGAGTGAGGGGAGAAAGGAAAGGCAGGCCGGAGTGTGGGAGGGAGAGAGGGATGGGCAGGGTGGAGAAAAGAGGTGGAAGCAGTGAGTGACGGTGTGAATGAGTGAGTGAATGAGTGATTGTGTGAGTGAGTGAGTGAATAGTGAGAGTGATGAGTGAGTGGATGAGTGATGTGAGTGAGTGAGTGAAGTGAGTGAGTGCCGAGTGTGAGTGAGTGTAAGCGAGTGAGTGAGTGTGAGTGAGTGAGTGAATGAGGGTCCTGACTAAGGAAGTGCGTATACCAGGTGAGAGAGGCTATTCGAAGGAGGACTCGTGAGGGTAAGAATGAGGGAGGAATGACGAGGTGATCTTGAGGGAGGGTTCCAGTGAGGCGAAAGGAGGGGGGGGGGGGGGCTGTGATTGTGGCGACGAAGCGATTCCAAGGAAGGAGATGAAAGTGAGTATGAGAATAATGAGAGGGTAATGAGGCGATTCGGAGGAAGACGTAATTTAAGTTTATGGCGTAAAAATGACAAGGAGGATAAGAATTTCACCAAGGGACGAGGAAGGAACGGCAAACTAGCAACGAAAGAAAACTAGCAGATTACAAGCCAAAGAAAAAGAACGCCTATTTAAAAGAAAACCAAAAAGAACCAAGCACCCCAAAGAAAGAAAATCCAAAGAAAAACAACAAAGAAAATAACCACGCAAACAGCTAAAAAAAATAGCAACCGACAAAATAACCAAAACAAGATGGAAACACTAAGAAAAAAAAACAAAAAACAAGAAGGAAACACTAACAAAAAGCAACAACAAAAAACAAAAGGAAACTAACAAAAACAACAAAAAAAACAAAGAAGGAAAACACTAACAAAAAAACACCCAAAAACATGAAAAAAATACTAACAAAAACAACAACAAAAAACAACAAACTAACACGGAAACAGCCCTACTAGCAAGCGGCGCCGAGAGAGCTAGCAGGGAGGCGGGAGACGAGGCGCGCAATAACTAGGGCTGGCGGTGACGGCGAGTACCGTGGCGCCACACCCGTTCTCTCCGGCCGCGTCTGATAAACAACCTCCTCCTCTGTTCTCCCTCTTGCCTCGCTCATTCTTCTCTTCTTTCTTTATTCACTTTCTGCTCTGGGGATTACTGATTTCTTTCTTTGGTAATTCTTTATTTTTTTCTCTGTCTGTTTCTGTTTTTTTTTATTACTGATTGCTTTCTTTATTATTTTCTCTGTACCTGTTTTTTATCATTACTTATTTCTTTCTTTGTTAATTCTGTTGTGTGTGTGTGTGTGTTATTTTTTTATTACTGATTCCTTTCTGTGTCTGTTTTTATTCTTTTATTACTGATTTCTTTCCTTATTAATTATTCTCTCTTTGTGTCTGTTTCTTTATCATCTGTGTTTCTTTTTTTGTCTTTGAATTCGAGGCTTAATCTCTGTTGTTCTTTTTTCTCCTTAAATATTGACAAACACATCTAAACACACTGTGAGATTGAGGGAGAAAGAGAAAAGGCGAAAGAGATAAAGTGATAGATAGAGATAGATAGATTGATAGAGAGAGAGAGAGAGGAGAGAGGGGGGAAGAGGGAGAGGGAAAGGAGAGACAGGGTGCGAGGGGGGGAGAGAGGAGGGAGGGAAAGAGACAGAGATAGAGATATAAACATAGAGAGTATGGAAATAGAAACAGGGAGTTAAAGAGAGAGAGAAAAAAAAACAGGGAAACGGGGATAAACAGACGAGAGGGAGGGAGGGAGGGAGAGAGAGGGAGCAGAGAGGAAAGAGAGAGAGAGAGAGAGAGAGAGAGAGAGAGAGAGAGAGAGAGAGAGGGAGGAGGGAGGAGAGAGAGAGGAGAGGAGAAGAGATGAGAGAGAGAGAGAGAGAGAAGAGAGAGAGAGAAATGGAGACAGAACCAGAGGGAGGGAAGGCCTTCAGGCAACCACAATGCTAATCTTCCCGACCGACTTTGACTTATGGCTTCGTAAGTCTTTTTTGTATCTTGTGTCTACCGGGATCGCTCCGAGTGCCCCGCATGCGGTCTCGGTTCCCTTTTGTGAACCCCCAGGGCGGCGCTGCTAAGGGTACGAGGGGGGGGGGGGGGGGGGAGATGGGGAGCGGGGGAAGAAAGGAGAGATTTTTCCGGTCCAGGTTCTTACAGCTGATCCCCAGCGTCGCCTGAGGAAGCTTTCTGTCTCGCTCCTTTTCTTCGATTCCGCAGAGGAACGTTGCCTCTGAAGGAAAGCCTAATGCAAGCGCAGGGAAGAGCAGCGAAACGACGGACAGAGGCGAGTTTAATATCAACAACGATAGGAAAATGAAACTTATCAATAATGAACGCAACTAAAAGAAGGAAGTGATAAATAGCCTTACCAAACAAGATGCGATTAGCCCACCCTGCCTACAATGCTGCCATGACTCCCGCTGGAGGCTGACCTGTCACAAGTAATAGCGTCCCGTCAGTTTATCGTCAGCGTGTCATCAGCGCAACGACATTGGACAAGAGCCACGTCGCGAGGCATGTCCCGGCCGCGTTCAATTCCCAGCGACAGAAGGGATGATGTTCGCCCGCGACAGACGACCCCCGCGAACCCGAAGGCAACGTCCAATGCGAGCCAAAGCGTCTCAATTTCTCGGCCCGAAGGTAAAAGGCCCAAACCCTCCCGAGTTCAAATACTTTTTCCTTAACACGTGGAACAAACTGTGGCCTAAGATTCGAAACCCGGAGGTCAACATACAATTGCGTGTTGCTGGCGGGAAAGGCACAGGCGTTCGAATCGGAATAGGTTAAGCAGGCCACCAACCTTCAATAGAAGCTGAAGGCCAAGGGGGTCGAAGAGCAGCTCCGATTGGCTGGGCTAGCGTAGTGGGCGTGGCACCTTGGCACGCTCCTCCAATCATGGCTCCTACTACACTGACGTAGCCTGAAACAGAAAATGGGAATTAGGGACGGGAATTACTTTCGGGCCATTATGAAAAAGGGTCCAAGTGTTCGTTTCGCTTGATCATCTATCGTGGTATGTCAAAGTTAGATTAAAATGGAGTAAAGTTAAATACAGCATCATTATGGTTGGGTCGAGGAGTAAAAATAAACCCGAGTGACGTATGTGGAACGCCCTTAGTAGCTCCTGAAAGTGCAATTATGGTACATTTGCATTCGATAAGCACAGAACGACCACAACCGGTTTTCCGATAGCAGCCGAGATAACAGATAAGAAGCCCCCGAGAGATAATCTATAAAACCCATCTACGATTATGTCTTCAGCACAATATTTTCTCTGCCACGAAAACATACTTTGCGCAGGAACTAATGAGGTCTAAAGCAAACAGAAGTGAACAGGGGAACGGGAGAGACCAAACAAGCCACTTCTTTAAACAATCATCTGCTACAGCCAAGTTGTTCCCTATGGATCACCGTCTATAAGGCTCACTGGTGTGTAAATGGCCCCGGGCGTGCGCAAGTGTACCAGAAATTTATATATGAAACAACAGTAGTTAATCATCTAAACATACATGTCTAATTCTTCATACAGAAACATTAAGCGAACACATGTTAAACCTTACTCGTAAAAGAAATATATCATGTACAGCATACAAAACGTGTGTGTGTGTGTGTGTGTATGTGTGTGTTTTAAAATTCTATGCACACATGAAAATCCAGAGGCCTTCCCCGCCCCGCCGCCGCAGCAGAGCCAGAGCCAGCGTGTCCTCAAAGGCTGAAAAGACAATTCCCGACGCAGGCGGGGACTGGCGCGGACTGTCGTCTCCGGGTCTTCCACGCTCCTTCCTTCTGTCGAGTCACGGTGATGCTCTCAACGCCACATGCTCCAGGTAGGATGATCCCGAATGCAGGGACGTCCGCCCGGGTGACGGCGGCCTCTGATGTTTCCTCTCGTCAGGCCCGAACATCCTTCTCGATATCCCTTATCGCTTCAACACGTAGACGCTATCGAAGCCCGGACTGCGATCTCATGTTTTATCGCTTCTTGGACAGGCCCGGCGCTTCGGCTCTCCTGTTCTCCCGTCACTCCATGAGTCATAACCCGTTCTTAGTGACGCATCAGTCACAGTCAGGTGACGGCCGACGTTGGGTAACATCCCTGTAAACATTTTGGAATCAAACGGCCAACTGCAGGAAGTATTCGCATTAGCATTGTTGCTATGGCGCCGGGAGAAGTTAGTCGAAAGATCCTCGACTTGTCAGATTCTACATATTGCTGACATTCAGGAGAGTTAGTGTGACTGATCAAAGAGGGTTTTCTGCAAGCATGCCAGGACACGAAATGTGGAAATTAACACAGCACGTAAGACTGCTTTCGGTAGACTTTAATGTGTTTGGCGAAGTCTCTAAGCCGGCGACGAGCTGGATAATCGTAATCGCCTAGTATTCATCAGGAGATTCTAACTTCTAATAAAAGTCTGTCTAGCTCGCCGCAACGTATCAGTACCAAAAATTATTCTTCAATAAACTAAAAGATATTAAATCCGGCTTCAGCAGCCTATTTCGTGAATATAAATGGACCCATAAATATACACGAAAGACAAGGAATTTAGTATAGACTTTAAACTGTACACAAACCATACCAGATTTCACATCAAGTAACCCTTATTGTCGTTGTTCGACTATATTTTTACCGGCAAGAAACTCTGAAGAGAAAACATGTAAAACTTAAAGCTGATGCGCAGGACCCGTAAAGTATTACAGAAAGTTTAAAGCTGAGAGAACTCAAGTCGAAAAAATTGGGGAAAAAGACGGGAAAACAAAATTCAATGTCGAGGTTAAGTGTTCGACTTTTCTTTTTCTTTTTGTCTCGCACTTATCATCTCTATGGTTTAGTTTTGTGTTACATGACAGATGTAGTTCTTTTTTTTTTTTTTGCTCGAGGGTTCCATGTTTACGCAACGATTTTTACTTTTTTTGTATGATGATTGCGATGGCTTTGGAGATACGCGCCTAACCTTACTCTTTTCCCATTCGCCTGACCTGCCTTATTATTTCTATTCGCCTAACCTGCCTTATATTTTGGCGAAATATTTGCCCCATTCGTTTTGCAGCGCATAGAAGGACCACACGTTCTCGGTTACACTGTAGGCAGAGCGGTGACATTCCAAGATCCTTCCTTGCTAACCTTCACTACGTGCCGGATGACCTACGCTCGGAATTCCCAAGCCACGACGTCAGGCCCGCTACGTGTCATCCACCGCAGTCCATCATCCACCACAGTCCGTCATCCACACACACACACAGAAAATCACCCATCCACACACACTCAGAAACTCACCCATCCAGAACCCACAGACGTTAAAAGTCGACGATCACCCAAGCCAATGTTTTGTCTGCAATCATAAGGCTAATTCTCAGGGTAGCATTTAAGCGTCCATGAGACAGAAAATACTTCAATATTATGCTGATGTTGTGCTTTT